CTAGACGAGACATTGTTTTTTTTGCGGATACAAAGCCTCTGTGTGACTAGCGGAAACAAAAGGGCAGATAGACTGGTGGCCCTCGGCAGGGATTTAGCTTTCGCGAAAGGCAAAGTCCCTGCATCAGAAATGAAAGTGTGGATCAGGGGCGTTGTCTGGATCACATGGTGGGCTTAATGGCATCACGACAGGAGCTCCTTTCTGAGATAAATAAAGGAGGAAACCGACAAATTGGTACATGCCGACTGGAAAAACCAGAGGGTTCATTCCAAATTGCAGACTGGATACAATAGGTTCCTCCCAAGAACATGGAGAAAAGGGGAGCTTCCAAACTCATTGCGGCACTTGTTCATTCCAATTGTTGATTGAACGCGTTCTTTCCTTCAGTCCGGACTTCCACCAATATATTCTTCTTTACAATATGAAGGCAGTATTAGTGATGCACTCAGCAACGTTCCGGCAGAGAAGTGGTTTTGCTAGCTTTCACCAAAGATTCCGGATTTTATTGCAAGATTTGATAACACTCTACAATGACATCTTAGTCATCCTTTACGTTTAAGTTTTAAATTAGTTCAAAATGCTTTCCCTTGTCCTCCCTCCAAATGATCAATAAATGTAATCCCTAATCTCGAGTAAACCGCGAGTAATCGGCCCCCGTTCTACTAACATTAGTTGTAAGAAAATGATATTCACACACAATCATGTAAAAAATATTCGGCTCCGCAAAGCTAACGCATTTGAGCCAACAATCAATACGAAACTAACGATTTTAAATTGGCTCACTACTTGACTAGCCTATTGGTCGCAAGCAAACGATTAACGTATCCCATTCTAGTCGAAATTCTAGTACTACGCAATGTTTGTTTTGATTCGCTATGAAAGTTTGACAGATAAAATGAGGGGTGATTGGTTTTTCCTATGTTTCGAGGGGTGAATCGATTAGCTTGGGACCGAAGATAGTACCAGAGCTGAGCCAAAAAGTTGAGCACGTTATTTCGGGACCTTCTAGTCTTAGAGTTACCTCTATGTTTGAGCCGAGGTTTGAGCCTTGACAAATAAATGGATTATAAAAAAAAACAATGACATCTACAACGAAACCATCCAGAAGAACCTGACAACGGGAAATGGACAAGATCGCGCTAGAACAGTATAATTAACCAGGACTACGGACATGATGACCACCTGGATAACTAAATGGCAGCCCTTCTTTTGCTCAATAAAACAGATGAAATTATGCTTAATAAGTAAAAAAAATCTCCTTAAAATAGATCGGGTTGCTCCTTAAATGATTGATCAAAATACATTAAAAATCTTAAAATGCTCAGTAAATATTTAAAGTACGCTCCCTAAAATAGAGAAAACTGTACATTAAGCATTTGAAAATGCTCCTTAGTATGCACTGCTTTGCACCATTTTGAACACAAACGAAGTGACAGACGGAGCGGCTCGAAAACTTTGGTGACTAACCTGCTATTGCAATTTTTCAGTGTACCACATGGCAACACCACTACTACTGGATTGAACCAACAATCAATACGAAGCTAACGATTTTAAATTGGCTCACCACTTTAGTAGCCTATTGGTCCCAAGCAAACGATTAACGTACCCTATTCTAGTTGAAATTCTATTACTACACTATGTTTGTTTTGATGCGCTATGAAAGGTTGACAGATAACATCAGGGGTGTGTGGATTCATGCAGAACATGCAGGGGTGAGTGAAATAGCTTGGGACTGCTTGGGACCGTTGTTCTGGTACTGAGTGAGCCAAAAATAATAATGATTTTCTTCGGGACCCAGTGGTCTTAGAGTTACCTCTATGCTAATAGCGAATTTGTTTTTGATTCAGTTCCAACCTGGATCAAGATTGGGTCGGCTTGTTGTCTATCAAACGTCACTGAAATGCGATGAAGAAGAAGAAGACCTGTGATCCATTGAGACGATGACAGCACTGAAGGTAATAAATGTCAAAAATATTAACGTATTATTAGCGTAGCATATCTATATACAGGGTGTTCAATAAGTTCGAATACACTGTAAAAATGTGTTAAAAAAATGAAAATTCAATATATTCTTTTCTGAGTAAATTTTTATTGAAGCAATGTTTATTAAGAACCTTTACGACATATTAGCCGGGAGCACCCCCTTTGTGCTGTATGGCGAGCTTGAGACGTTTATTAAAAGAATCGCACGCGGCACGCACCTGGTCCATCGACATTTCGTCCCAGATATTGGAAATGAGCTTCTTAAATTGGTCCATAGTGCTCACTTGATGTTCGCTCTGCTTGACCAGCATGTACGACCATACATAAAAGTCCAGGGGATTAAGGTCCGGGGAGCTGGGAGGCCACAAAGTCTTATCGAGAAAATCAGTCAAATTCTCCCGACACCACGCTTGGACGATATTCGCCGTGTGGGCCGGTGCACCGTTTTATTGAAAGACGTAATGATCCTTCCAGTAGAGGTTCTGAAGTGCCGGGGCCATAATCTTCTCCAGAACCTCGGTTTTATAGTACGCGTCGTTGATTTTCACGTTTTTCACGATTAACACCAGTGGGAGCTTCCCACACCTGGATACGCCTACCCCCCCCCCCCCCCCAAACCATCACCAACGCGGCGCTCTGGAATCGCGGAATGTTTATTTGCGACGGGGGGATGCTGGCCAACGTCGGCGCACACAGCCGATCATTTTGGACATTGTGCGGCTGTTGCAAGACAAAGAGTTTCTCATCAGAATACACGAACTTCTGACCTGCGTGCCGCAAAGGTATCAGTTTGGTAGCCGCGGTAATCCTTCATCGTGCGCGGTAAACAAACAACAAATGACAGCAAGTCGATACCGTGCGCATCGGTTAGCCTATATATGAGTGCGCACCTACATGACGATGAAAAGTTGTATTCGAACTTATTGAACACCCTGTATATAAAAATGAATTTCTGTCTGTCTGTCTGACCCGAGGGGGACGACTCTATCTACGATGCAGAAAAGATTGTGTTTTGCTGTGGCTAGCTGCGCGCACGCTGAGTAGATAGAAAGAAGATTTATGACGATTCTGAAGATTTCCTGCAAAAAGATGATGCGCGATGCAAGTAGATGCGACAAATAAAAGAAGATTTTTCGAAGATTGATTCGCTAGTGTGAGATTTGTTGAGCATCTAAACTTGAGATTTTGATGTGTCGCCCCCCTTGGTCTAACCCTTATAGACTCGGAAACTACTGAACCAACCGGTGTGAAAATTTGTATGCAGGGGTTTTTGGGGCCGGGAAAGGTTCTTATGATGGTTCGAGACCCCTCCTCCCAAATGAAACAGAAAAATATAGCATGCTTTTTTGAATCGGCGCATAAATTCAAGCTAATATTGAATCCCGAGCAAGGCCGGGAACACTCTCATAACATAAAAGTTAGTCCAACATCTACTCCATCCATAGATGCACGGAAGGAGGGAATTTGTGTTAGTATGAAATGGTGTATGATTAGGAAACTCTATTCGGAAATATTGCGCATATGTTAAAGTTTGTGTGGAAACATAATTAAATAAATAATAAGGAAAGCTCTCTGACCCGAATCATCCGTAACAAGCAAGGTAACAAGCCTGTTTTTCCACGTTTTTTAAACATACTCATTCTTCCTTTGATGGTTGAGGCATGAGCTCTAAACGGCCACGCACATTAGATCCGTTTGCGTTGCGTTGACGTAAATTTGACAGTTAGACAATAGATTTAGCTGTCACTTTGCCGCAACGCGTCCGATCCGGATCTAATATGCGTGGGCCTTAACTCTTGCTCTAGCCCTATGGCTTATGGTTATATCGCCATTACTCGCTTTCTGAAAAGAAAAAAAAAATGAGAGGAAAGGAAAAGGGAGAGAGTGGTAGACCTTACACCGTAACGCACCACTTAGAGGTGATCTACCCGCGTTACGGGACTAATAAATAATAACGTATTATTCACCACTTTATTTGCTTTGGACATTTGCTATCAATCATTCATTCTGGTGGAAAATGAAACTCTGTGAAGCAGTTTCTACCTGGTAAAGTTCGCGAACTTTCCCTTGGTGATCTTCTTGAAATATCGCGATCTTTTCCAACACTGCTACCTATTTGTATACATAACCAATCATCAAATTTAGATAGTTGAAGATGCTAATTTCAGAAAACATACTAAAATGGTAAATTTGTATTCGATAGATGAGATGAAAGTATAGAATTGATAGTTCCGTTTAGAGTACGGCAGTATGAAAATTTCATATAGAGAGTAGATAGCGAGCTAGGACAACTTTGGGAAGGTACAAATCGGTTTTATCATCTCTCTTTACCAGAGGGATGGTCAGGGTAACACCCCCCCCCCCCCCCGCACCACTGGTAAAAAGAGTTGATCACCGACCGCTCATGTACCGACGATGTGTTTGAAACAGTTCTACCGATTTTTACCGCACTCCAGTTGTTATCTAAAGGAAGGCATCCAGTCGTAGGTCTGAAAATTTCAGCTATTGTTACCTCTACCACAGTATGTGCTCCTGTCATCGTCGACTTGACGATCTCGAGGGGACACGGGTAAGGTAGGTGCTGCTACTGTACCTTTCGACCAATGACAGTAATTGATGGTAAGCTCCCATCCAGAGTTATGTACTTACTCCTCATTTATCGTATAAAAACTACCATTTTAGTCTGTTACCTGAAATTAGCATCTTCAACTATGTAAATCGTTGATTTCACGCAGAAGTAATACTAAAGATATAGTCAAAGTATCAAATTTAGTTTTCCTCAGTTTTTAGCTGTGTACCAAATACAAAAACATCATTATTAGCAATATTTATATTTGATCTATTGGAAGCAATATTTGCAATGTCTGGAGTTCAAAAGTAAATTTTGTTTTTATTATGGAAATGGACAGCAACCTGATCAGCCCATGCAAGCCGACCGATTTCTTTCAACTCCCAGTGCAATGAAACGCATCCGATTGAGTTTTGAAGTTTTCAATCATATATTTTTTTGTTTATTTTTCACTTTTTCTGGTTATTTTTTATAGACTTCTGACTTATTGTATGTTCAATTTAAATTATAAATACAATTCATAAATTTTACTTTCCATTACAATTACCATTAGTCCTATAGCTTATGTTTTCGACCTTGAATGGTTTCAAAATTCAAATATCTATTCGTAAAAGTGCGCCTGCCTGTCTGTCTGTCTAATGATTTTACTCTCTTTTTCTTGATCGCGTTCTTGTTCTTCTGTTCGTGTTCACTACTACTTCCTAATTAGTTCCATCTATACGCAATAGTCAAATATATTAATGCTTTCCCACGAATCTATCTCGCGAAGGAGGAAAAAGAAATACCAAAATAAAAAACAAAGTTGTTTTGTAGGTATTGTTTTGCAAATCCAATTGAATAGCTTGCCGTTTTATTTTTATGAAATGTTGTGGCGGATGGTTATCATCCGTTGTGGAAAGGACGTTTCATCAATTACAAGGTTATTCATTCTATTTTTCGTCTAAACTCTGCTAAATACCGTTAAATAGAGGGGTTATATGATGCTTTTTTGCATTTTTCTTTTATTTAAATTCACAATTGTTTCAATCAACGCGCAATCCACATAATATTTCTGTGTGATTTTTTAAGAAAACAAAACAACACTAGAGATTCAAACCAATAAAATATGTTTTTTCGCAAACAATGCAATTATTGGTTGCTTTGAAATATATATATAAACGTTTAAAGCAAAAGAAAGTTATCGGCACAAGAGTGTTCACTTGGTGCAGCATGTCAAGCATAAACAATCTATCGTTTTCTTTTTGCAAATCACAATGTTGCTACTTAGCGCTTAAACAGTTCCTACATAGTACTGCGCTATTGGTGAAAGAGAGTATGTTTCTATGGGTTGGTTTGGCGATAAACGTATGGTAGCAGCTATAAGGACTACTGATTCTTAACATACACTGTAAATAACAATAATCGATGTCGTGTGAAGTCGATAATAGAAAGATGACGGGCAGCCTGCGGGGCTGATTTTGCGCTCAAACACATGCAAAAGCGATTACATGCGATCGCGAATACGGCTGGTGCTGTAGAACAAGATAATCACGACAGGGAGTACAATATTAGTTTGTGGGGAAGAGGGCGCTGACAGCTTAGTAAGCGTCTACCTCTACGAAGACGGTTAGTAACGTCAACCGGCAGTCGGATCCACGGGGGCTACCGTCGGGGTGACTTCTAGCTTCTCTGGACCGCTCGCATCGGCCAGGGGCAGCTTCTCCTCTTGGATGGTGAGTTTCTGCGGAAAAGAAAAGGAAGGGTGTTAACTGGCGCTCGAGCTAAACTATTAATATTATGGTGTGATAGAATACTCGATTTTACTGCACACAATCCCGGTCATAAGTTTGGGTCACTCATTAAAAAACATGTAAATATTTTATGATCATATCTCTGCCATTTTAAGACCGATGTTTAATCTTGATTTGGCATAATTTTGATATGAAAGTGTTAGTAATACTCTTGGAATTTTAATACAAATATGATGAGCCCCACATAGGAACGAAGCTTACAAATTTTAGTTCTTTTTGCAGTAGTTAAAAGACAATAAATGTAACTTACTGCGTTGGTATGTGACTTAACATAATTTGTCATGTTTGTATACTCAAACTTAAATTAAACTTAAAACAGCGATAAACATACTGTGGGGTGACCCAGAAATTTTGATCGATGGCTTGAGTAAATATTTTATTGATTTAAAGCATATTCTAAAATTTTCAAATAGGTATGTACTCACCTTAACCGATTCGCCAATCATGTCGATAGGCTCGATATCGGCCGCTTTCACAGGATCGCTTGCCACAACACCGATACCACCATCTGCTGCTACACTGCAAGCCACCGTTGGTCCTGAACTGGAAACCGTACTGGCACCCGTCGTCGCCGAGGGGGCTGGTGAAGGACTCTTCCGCGTTGGTGGTTGATACGGCGCCCTTTGCACAAACATATTGTCCAGAATGTGATCAATGTCACTGGCTCCTGCGGTGGGTGTAGTTGTCGTTCCACTGCTCCCAGCAGTGGGTGCATTGTTTTCTTCACCTTCGGTGTTGTTGCTGTTCGAACCGGAGCCATTATCCGTACCGATGCGGTTGTGTTTTGACTTGCGATCCGGCGGCGCTAGGATCGGTATCGCACTGGTTGGACGTCGCAGCGATGGCAGTGGTCGGGGGGCTTGTGTCTGGGACTGAGGGGCGTAGTAGGTGATTCCACTGGGATAGACGGCAGCAGCGGCCGGTGGGGCTGGAGTGAGCGGAACGGCTGGAGCTACTGGCTGAGGAACTACAGCGTTGAAGCTCGGATAGCCGGTGTAGGGTGCCGCGGGGTATTGGGTTGGTGCCGCAGGAGGAATTGCAGGAACGTAGTTCAATATCTGGGGCGGTGGAGCGGCCGTTGCAGTTTGGGGAGTAGGTTGTGGAGTGGTTGTTGGTTGCGGGATGTAGGCAGCCGGAGGCGGAGCTTGGATATACTGATGGGAACTGGAGCTTGGTTGGTTGTACTGCTGGTACTGTGGAGCAGAAAGCAATGGGTTTTGTTGTTGGGGAACCACTGGGACTGCCGGTTGTTGTTGTACTGGGACGGGCTGAGTGGGAGTACCGGCAACGAATTCGTTTACAGTCGGAGTCGTAGCCGTGTAGTATGCTGCAGGGTGTTGATATTGGACAGGAGCTTGGCTCACCGGTTGGGGTTTGCTTGGAGCTGTTGGTTGATTAGCAGTTTGAACGAGGTAATCGTTCTGCAGGTTCAATGGAAGCGATGGCTGACTCAGTTGATAATTTTGCTTCGGTGTCTGTGAAGTAAGCTTCTGCTGTTGTTGGTGTTGCAGCTCCTGTTGTAACAGCAGCTGTTGTTGTTGTTGTTGTTGAAGTAACTGCTGTTGTTGCTGTTCGTGAAGTGGAGATTGTACCACCACAACATTTGGATTATCCAGTGTAGATCGTTGCCTGTTGCTGGAATATCGCTTCGACGAGCGCGAATTGCTATCGTTAGCTATCATTTGCTGTTGACTGACGGCCGCTCCCATATGGACATTGTGCATTTGAGCCACAGGGGGTTGTGTCATTTGGGCTGGCGCTTGTTGCTGCTGCAATTGGGGAGGTGGAACCTGAGTTTGTGGAGCTTGGGTAACTGTTGGTGGACCTGCCTGAGTTGTTAGCGGATGCAACTGCTGATACTGCGCTTGCTGCTGAAGTTGATATTGTTGCTGCTGGGATTGTTGTTGCATTTGCTGTTGTTGCTGGTGAGACAACTGCTGCGTTGTCGGAATCGATGTCAATTGACTGGCCTGGGTCGAGACTATCTGCCGGGGAGATATTTGAGATCGTGTGTTCATTGCGACTCCTGTCGTAGTGGCTAGCACCGGTTGACGATCTTTGCCGGCCCTCTGGCCCGTTGGAGTCGGATACTTCGCAATGTCAGTTTGTCCAATTTCGACAGACTGAATCGTGGCATTCGCCGGGGGATTATATGGGAACTTGGCTTCTTTCGGCATTTTCGAATCGCTGTATGAATCGTAATGGTCATCATTCACGTACGATGTCTGCGGATGATGCTGTATTTGCTGTGGTGGAGGTTGAGGTTGAGCCTGTGGAACCTGTGCTTGTGGTGGAGGCATCTGTTGATGTGGCTGTTGTTGTTGTTGCTGCTGCTGAATCAATTGTGGAGGCTGATTCTGATAGTGATGTTGAACAGCAGCACGTTGATCCAACATGCGTTCCGGTACAGGTTGAACGCGATCCATCGCATTGTTCATCTTGTTGGTATTGCTACTACCGGACAGTGCCCCCGCACTGCAGCTATGGACAACCTGGTTCATTCCGCCACCTCCACCGCTCACCGGAATGCCACCACCATCCATGGTCTTATTACGGGTTTGATTCTTGAATTGCAGCGAAGTGATCACCTTGTAATCGCTTCCTCGTCGATCCTTCTCCTTACTACCTCGATTGTTCATCTTATTCTCCTTGTTATGGTAGCTGTTATTGCTGGTGACCCTTTCGGCGCTGTATCGGCTGCCATCAGTTCTGCTATCCCGATAGTTTTCTGGTCCGTGCTGATCATAATCACGATCTCGATCCCAATTACGTTCCCTGTCATTCCTATCACGATCAGAGCGGGGCTGCTGCTCATATTTATCGCCACGGTCCCTTTCTGCTCCACGATCACCCATGCTTCGATTACCGTTACTACCCCGACTGCGTTCGCTGGTCCTCCTTTCCGCTCGCTGCCTTCCACCTGCGGGATGCAGCTGTTCATCTCCTCGCTCACCAGCGGATGATCGTGACTGCTTGCTAGACCGTCGGGAATTTTGACGCGATTTAATGTTGTTAGTGCCCAACTCGGGGAATTCCTCCGGCCGCAGCACTTTCCGTTGCCGATTATGGTCGACGACATTGGATTTTGAATATGCATCCTCATCTTCCCAATTCCTAGTGTACCGATTAGGACCACGTCTGCAAAAAAAATAAGGTTAATCATCGTTTTCAACAAATCAAACACATCTTAACTTACGCATAACGCCTCCTTCTACGGGCTCGCGGAGGACCATCTTCGCTGCGGATGTCGTATCCATAGGCTGAAACCAGCTCTGCCCTGGATTTCGGAGCTTGCTCGCCCTCGTCGAATCGATCGTGTGTCCACCGGTCAGCCGACGCTTGCCATTTCTTTGTCGCATTTTTTGACACCGCATTTTTGTCCACCTTCCGGTCGCCACCCACTCCGGAAAGGTCGTCATTATTTAAACTTTCATCACCACCCTTGTTGTCTTCTTCATCTTCCAATGTGCGGTCGTCATGCTCATAGAACGTTCCCTTCTTAGGAATATACTGCGGGTTGCTACGGTCTTCATCATCGTCGACCTTCCGTTTACTGTCTGTTTCCTGTTCCTGACCATCACCACTCTGGCGTTCGTTGTCCAGCACTTCAATCACATCATCGTCCGACCCATCTTCGGCATCTTCATCGTCTTCGTCTTCTTCTCCGTCGGATACTGCTTCTTCGTCCTCTTGACTATCACTGTCGTACTCTTCGCCGTCCGATGGCGAATCGGACGCCGTGTCGTATTCGGACTCAACCGTAGCCAATCCGCTTTGTTGTGAAGTGTCTTCGCGCGCTGCATCGTTGGCGTTCTGTCAAATGAAATGAGTCATAATAAGCTAATTAGAGTACATATAATATTTTTGTTGTTCAACAAGTTTGACATGTTCCAGAATTCAGACATAGGTAGTTATTATAAGTCCAAGGTCAACTTTTTTTAAAGCTCTATTGGCAAATCAAAGCAAAACCAAAACTGGTCATGTGACACCTAGTGTTTAGATCCGCTATTACAAAAATGATGATGTACTAAAAAAAAAAACAACAGCTCGACAGATATCGAAACGTCATTACCATTTTCACCCATTCGCCATCTGTGAGTCAATCTTCGCTTTGATTCTTTAATATTTAAAATTTGAAATCTTGAAAAAAATTTCGAAGTCCATTGACCGAAAGTTGCTAGGCCATTAGACCATTTTTTCCTTTATTTACACCGAGGCCCCAAAAAGGAAACTTCCAAAACCTTATGTACTGGTATCGTCCGGCGGCTATTATTTTGCATCCAGAAGTAAATAGTCATCATGCCATTTACCAACAGGTGGATCTAACCACATCTGGATACCCGGAGTTGGTTCCGGCAGGGCCCCATAAAGGACACTTCAAAACCCCCATGCAGTGGTAACGTTCGACGGCTCAAAATTTATGATTTTTCATCCGGATGTAAAAAGCCATCGGACGGTACATGAGGATTAGGAAGTTTCCTATTTGGGCCCTCCCGGATCCGGTGGGGCATTATGATAGACCAAAATTTTACAAGGCATATTCAAATTTGTTTGCATGTAAATATATGATCTGGCAGGGAATTTGCAGCTGCGGTCAGAAGACAAAGGTTTTCGTCACTGAGAAAATCATGAGCTTGGAGGTTTACAAAACCGAATGTCTCCAGAAGCGAATTCTGGCCTTCGTCCAGTCACATGATCGTCCGGTGATATTTTGGCCAAATCTTGCGAGTTGTCACTACAGCCGGGAAGTACAACAATGGACCTAAATCTTGTTTTGTTATGTCGGAAAAAGCATATATCAAGACAATAGACCTGAGCAGGAGAAGCGCATTATTAAAAGTTCTTCAAATCTTTCTGGAGTTTAGATCTTGAAGTTCGTTTAACATTTCGAGGAATAGAAAGATGTGATACTAAAATATTTACCATTCTTCAAATTTTCCCAGCGATAGTTTACAGGTTAATCGAAATCTTGTTCGATTTCCACTCAGAATGTTTGAGCATTTTGTACTACGAGAAGCTAAATAGCCGATATGTGCAAGGACTTGGACGGTAACCTTCTCACGAACGAGTTTTAGGTGATTGAAAGGTGGAAACAGTACTATGACGAGCACCTCAACGGTGATGCAGCAGAAAACGAAGGTGGCACGACAACAGACCTTGGAGTGCGCGCAGAAGACGACAGGCTACCGGCCCCTGATCTTCAACAAGTTGAGGAGGAGATCGGTCGACTGAAGAACAACAAAGCAACTGGTTTATATCAACTAACAAGTGAGCTATTAAAATACGATGGTGAAGCACTGGCTATAGCGCTAGACTGGGTAATTGCCAAAATTTAGGAGGAGGAGATATTACCGGAGGAGTGGATGGAAGGTGTCGTATGCCCAATCTACAAAAAGGGCGACAAGTTGGATTGCTGCAACTACCGCGCGATAAAATTGCTGAGCGCCGCCTACAAGGTACTCTCCCAAATTCTATGCCGCCGCCTGTCACCATTTCCAAGAGAGTTCGAGGGGCAATACCAGGCGGGATTCATGGGTGCCCATGGATCAAATTTTTGCGATTTAGCGGGTTCTACAGAAATGCCGCGAATACAACGTGCCCACACATCATGTTTTCATCGATTTCAAATCCGCATACTACACAATCGATCGAGATCAGCTATGGCTATATTATTGTTATTGCTCAGTTCACACCCTGGCTAGCTGCTGCCTACCGATCTGCACTTAAGCCAGGCATGAACCTACGGAATGAATTTACGTCAAACCCACTATCCAGAGGCAGCGAACCACCTTAACACCTGAAATTATACAAAAACAAATTAAACATTAGCACCAAACCCCCCCCCCCCCCCCCTTCTCTCCAAGATTGCAACAGCTCCAAGCCATGCAACAGGATCATTTGGTGCCCCATGACAACTTGATCCATTTGCTTCCAGGTTCATTGTTTTGGCGCCAGCCGGGAGAGACTTGGTCCTGTACCAAATGCTTTCTTTGTCTGCATTCCGCTCAGCTACTAGCAATTGATTGTGATATAGTGGGCGGAATATTACATTGTGAGACAATTCAATGCAGTCGTCTTCCAAATTTGGCCGATCGCCAGGTAATCAGTGGGTTACCACCTGGCACCTCTTAGCAAGCACTATGCTACGAAGCGGACCGGAAGTTTCAATGAACAACCTCCCCCCAGATTATGCACGAGTACAAATATCCGGATAAACTGACGCGATTGGTCAAGGCGACGATGGATCGAGTGATGTGCGTTGTTCGAGTATCGGGGACACTCTCGAGTCCCTTTGAATCTCGAAGGAGGTTACGGCAAGGTGATGGACTTTCGTGTCTGCTATTCAACATCGCGTTAGAAGGTGTGATCAGAAGATCTGGGATAGACACGAGTGGTACGATCTTCGGGAAGTCCATCAAGCTCCTTGGCTTCGCCGATGACATCGACATCATGGCACGGAACTTTGAGACGATGGCGGAAACGTACATCAGACTGAAGGCTGAAGCTAGCCGGATTGGACTTCCCATCAACGCATCGAAGACAAAATACATGAAAGGCAGAGTTCAGATTGACGGTGACGAAATCGAGGTGGTCAATGAGTTCGTGACATTTGGGTTCACTGGTGACCGTCGAAAATGATACCAGCAGAGAAATTCAAAGACGCATTATGGCAGGAAATCGTGCCTACTTTGGACTCCGGAGGACGCTCCGGTCGAATAAAATTCTCCGCCGCACGAAGTTGACTATCTACAAGACGCTGATTAGATCGGTGGTCCTATACGGCCACGAGACCTGGACTATGTTCGTGAAGGATGTTGTGATGTTGGTGTTTTCGAACGGAACGTGTTGCGTACCATCTACGGTGGAGTGCAGATAGATGACGGAACGTAGAGGAGGTGAATGAACCAAGAATTTACACCAGCTACTGGGAGAACCATCCATCGTCCTCATTGCAAAAATTGGGCGACTACGGCCAAGTTGTAATAATGCCGCATGACGACCCAGTGCAAATGGTTCTCGAAAGCGACCCAACAGGAACAAGAAGGTGATCTGCGGACCCTTCGCAGACTACGAGGCTGGCGAAGTGTGGCCATGGATCGAGTAGAGTGGAGACGACTTCTTCGGACAGCAGAGGACAACACGGCCTTAGCCCAGGGCTGGTAGCGCTGATGCGATATAATAGTAGTGACTTTAGTGACTAAAATTACAGAAATAGTGACCAAATAGTGACTTTTGAATTATAAATAAGTAACCAATAGTTACATTTATATGATGACCGCAGAAACTCAAATAAGGTTTAATATTGAAATAAACTGTTTTTGCCATGGAACTTAAAATGAAATTTCATGAATTTCTCTAATTATTTCGAAACTCTCCACGGAATCTCCTATTAAGAGCATTTGAAGTGCAATTTCTTGATTTTCCCAAAGATTTTTTTTTTAAATGTTACTGTTAAGTAGGGTAAATAGATCATTACAACGACAGAATTTTTTATTGAAGATCTTGAATTTGATTCTGCCATGGAAATCTTTAATTTTTTTATAAAACTTTGATAATTCGCTAAGAATATTCCATAAAAAAAATCAGAATGATCTCAAGAACATTTTAATAAAGTATAGAGTTGATAGTTCCGTGGTACTACGGCAGTGTGAAAATTGTATATAGAGTTACGTTGGAACATCTACCCGAGTCAGCAGGTCGTTAACCCAGCAGCGGACTTTGCCACAGCGAGGCACCACCTGCACCTGAGTCAGCGGATCGTCAACCTGGCAACGGACTTTTATACGGCTAGTCTCATCGATTTCATCGAGAAGCATGGTCGGCAGATTTAGCTTATAAGTAGGACTAAGCAGGACAGGAACGTTGTCAGTTAGTATTGTGAGTTAGGTGAATTACGTGCGAAGTACATACTTCTGTGTGAAGGTGAAGAATCAGTGAAAATAAATGTTAGTTAGTTGAATTGTCCTTTTTTAAAAAGGTTATCACGGCCAGACACTCGTGATTCTAGAAAGTAAAAAAGCGAGCTTAAAACAATTTTGAGGAAGGTTCGAAACGGGTAGAACATCCCTTTTACCAAACTCATCCGTTGATGAGGGATAGTGAGGGGTGTTTCACTCCGCCACGCTGGCAAAAGGAATGATCGCCGATTTGCTCATGTACCTCCGATGTGCGGAAACAGTTCTATCAATTTTTCCACACTCAAATCGTTATCTGACGTAAGCATCTACCTGATTCGTAACTTCCTAAAAAATGTCCTTTGCTCGCTTTCTACTTCTACTTTCTATATACAATTTTCACACTACCGTACTTAATTCTATACTTTCATCTCCTCATCTATCGTATAAAATGTCCACTTTAAGTCTGATATTTGACGTTAAGCATCTCCAACTATTTAAATCGCTAACTTCATGCATAAATTAATAAATCATAATTAGTTAAAATAGATTATATTTGATTTTTTAATTATTATTCCAAGATTTCCATGAAGGTTCTAAATTTTATTAGAATCATAAATCATGAATTATATTGGAAATTAAATTCGTATTTTCCTCAGAATTCCCATGGTATTTTCTCAGAATTCTCAAAACAAAAATCCATCTCAGAATACCCTTAAAACTCTTCGAAGAATTCCTTTGAGGATGAACCCTCAAAAGCCGATTCCATTGGAATTCTTCTCGGAATTTATTTCGAACTCTTTAGAGTTCTCTTGGAAGTATCCTCAGAAATCATCCCAGAATTCTTTTATAACTTCCTTAGTGCCAAGTACTCAATTTAAAAATGTTGTTGATATTTTGCCATTTCACTCTATTTTC